AGCACCTTCTTTGCAGGCTTGGACACTGGACTTGTCAGCACACTCTGAGACACCCAGTCTCTAGGGGATGGTCCTTCCTAATCAGACACACCCAGGGCAATTGTATAGAGCTGACTGACAGCCTGTCCCTTCCTAAAATGGGCCAGTGCTCTTCCCTAATCAGGCACCCCACCCGCTAGGATCACAGGGTCCAGGAAGCAAGATTAGGCACCAGGAATGGGTGGTGAGCACAGAATGATGACAAGAGAAGTTAAATGGTTTAGACAGGACTTGCCTAACTCTAGTCAAGCCCAGGAAATACCCCACCACCCAGTCTATTAGATTTGATGTTTACCAGGAAAGCAGGCTGTCAAAAGGATCCAAGGAGTGATAAATGAAAGAGCTCTCTGGGGAATTCACTGGGGAGGAGGGTGGTCTCCCCAGGAGGCTGGGGGATGGAGGCGGCCTCCAGGCCTTGAGTCCACAGGGTCTGGTCATTTACCATCTTTAATCTGTAGACATGTTTTGTTTTCCACAAAGTGTTTTTAATTTCTTTTATTTATTTTTCTGAGGGGGAGGTAATTAGGTTTATTCATTTATTTTTAGAAGAGGTACTGGGGATTGAACACAGAACCTCGTACATGCTAAGCACACACTCTACCACTTGAGCTATACCCTCCTCCCCAAAAGTTTTTAATTAAAAGGCAAAAATGTCATCAATTCTGAAATTCGGAAGTTTCACACTGAATTCTGGATTTCTGATTTCTGTTGAAAACAAGACAGCTTGGAACCCTGAGGATCCCTTTTCTGCACAGAAACCATGGCCACTTTGGACGACTCTTCTTGGACAGTTGGTGCTCTGTGGACCCCACCCCGACCCCATCTTACCCCCAGCTCTCTTAACTCCTGTGTTGCCTGCTGGCCCTTATAGGACTTCAGTGTAAACGCCCAGCTCTGTGTTGTGCTGGTAAATAACCTAGCCCTACTTCCAGGGTCTGTTTCCACCCTCCCATCCCTGCTTTCCCTCCCCGGCTGGCCCCAGTTTTTGTTCCCCATAACTCTGCCAGCTTGAGACCTGCCCCAGTCTCTCCAGCTCAGATTCAAGACCTTTCAGCTGCAGCCCTCACCCCAACAGCTATGATCTCTCACTTCCTGGGTCAGCTTCCGGAGAGAGAATCTCTTTAGTCCAGGAAAGCTAAGCCACTCGGTTTAAAGGGAAGCAGGTGGGCTGAGTGCTCTGACTCTGAGGCGAAGCATCCAACCCCGTCCAGAAGGGCAGGGTCACGAGGTATAAAACACAGCTTCCTGGGCAACAGAGACTATGGGTAAGAGAGGGCTGGCAGTGAGGCAGGGGCTGCGCACCCAATGGAGAGCCCCTCCCTGAAGTCATGGTGGCCCCAGTCCTGAGCTCCCTCCCCACATCCATACAGGTGCCCGTGGGGGGTGGGGACATTGACCGGCCTTGCTTCTCAGACTCTTCCAAGCCGACCACCTCCTTTTCAGCTGATAATTGCCCTGTCGGCGGTGAGGGGACCCTCCCCCTTCTCTTGCAACTTTGCTCCTGATATTTTTTTGTCTCTGACCTTATGCACTGATTTTTTTAAAAAAATGTTTTTTAGGGAAAGGAGGCAATTAGATTTATTTATTAAATAGTTTATTCATTCATTTATTTATTACTACTTTTTAAATAGCGGTACTGTGGATTGAACCCAGGACCTCGTGCATGCTAAACACACACTCTACCACTGAGCTATACCCTCCCTCCTGATTTTTTAAGAATACATTTGAAGAATTCTAAATGCATCATTCTCTAGCTCCTACATATTTTCTGTATATTTGAGTGATTCTCAAACTTTTCCAGTAAAAGACCCACCCCCCACCTTTTTATTTTGTCGGACCCTGGTTCAGAGCCCAGCCAGCCATTCCTCTCACATCCTGGCACGTGGGCATCCTTGCATTCCAGATCCTCCTGGAGTTTTCTTTTCCTTTTTTCACTTCCCCAGTGGCACAGCCTCTAATGTGTTTGATGTGGATCCTTGACTATTGTGTATCCTTGTGTGTGTGTGTGTGTGTGTAGTTTTTGTTTTCGTAAATGGCATTGTGCTATAAATCGTCTTCTGTTTCCTACTTTTCTCACCGAATTGCATGATTTAAGGCCATCCCTGTTGATGTATATACAGATCGAATTCAGTGTTTTACAAATGATAGGTTGGGTCCCCATAGAGGCTAGTGAAATCAGTTTGGTAGGGGCGTAATTGGCACTTATTAGAAATGAATACAATAGGAAGTACTAGAGTGTCTCAAGTATAATCAGGGTAACGATTGTTTCGTGATTTTTAAAGTAAAAAAAATTTGTTTTTGTTTTTCATTTTTTTTGTTTTTTCTCATGATTTTTTAATTTCAAAACTAGATAGGCAAATGGATAGACACAGGTTGCAATGCAGAAAGTATTTCCTACCACGGGTACCAGTAAGAAGTCTGAATGGTCTCGTTCACTGCTTCTTACTGCTTGAGATTGTTCGGCTCTTCAGCCACGGTGTTTTATTTGCTCACCTTGGTGATGAACAGTAGGTCACTTCAGCGTCTCCCTCCACCAGCCACGCCGATGAATTTCTCAATCGATGTTCTGTCGTGTGAGCAATTACCTTTATGCTGTGGAAGCCTCCAAGCGCACTCCAAGGAGATTGAGCCAGAAGTCACAAAATAGAAAGGCTCATAGACCAAATGAGGATGTCTGAATCACACGGGTTATTAAGTCACATAGAGAGAAGGCGGGATGGGCGGGGGAGATGGAGCTGGGTCACACAAACACACACACACCCCTAGGATGTGGTGCAAGAACGCTGGGAGGTATGCACCATGTGCATCCTGGTGTGCAGTGCTCACCTATCTTGTCTCTCTTACATTAGCCTTTTCCAGTGAAGGGGAGTTTTAAGGGATAGAGCTGAGGTTTGAGCAAGGGGCCCAGCAGACAGACGGTGACCCTGGGCAAACACACACTCTGTTACAGTCAAAGGACTAGTAGGTCACGGCTGAAACTCACCAATTAGTCTGAACGACAGCTCTGGGCTTTCTGTGGCAGAAGACCCCTAGGGCAGAGTGAGTGCCACCAATAAAGAGCTGCATGAAGATAGTGACCATTAGGGGCCTCCTGTCTACCTAGTGTTTTATAGTCTGTGCCTCATGGAAACTGAATGGGTTGGGAATAGCCAACATCTTCTGGTCCTTCTCTCCCTTTTAATCTGTATTCACATAGTAAGTTCTCTCCATCTGTCTGATATGTCTTAGCTATACTTAACACACCTCAAGCTTCATCCTTCCCATTCGTCTGACAGATCTGAACGTTCTCCAACAGCCTAGCCAATGTGCATGACCTGTCCCGGGGATGCTGACTCAGGAGGCCTGAGCACATACTCTTTAGATTTGTTCAATGTGCCTTTGCTCTGGAGAACGACTCCTCAGTGGACACCAGCACCCTCAGCAGCCTCACTTTTCATCTCCTGACATCCTTGCCAAATGTGATTTTATCCTTTTGCTAACATCTGCTATTTTCATGGGTATAAAACAGGACATTTTTATCACTTAAAAATATTTTCAGAGAGGGAGGGTATAGCTTAGTGGTAGAGAGTATGCCTAGCATGCACAAAGTCCTGGGTTCAATCCCCAGCACCTCCACTAGAAAAATAAATAAATAAAAACCTCCCCCCCCCCAAAAAATTTAAAAACATTTTTTTTTAAGAATCCCACATGATAGCTTCTTTCTAAACAAATTTTAATTCTTTTTTTAAAGTGTAGTCGGTTTACAATGTTAGTTTCAGGTGTACAATGAAGCAATTCAGTTATACATATCCATATGTATATATTTTTTTCAGATTCTTTTCTATTACAGCTCATTACAAGAAATGGAATCTAATTCCCTGTGCTATTCACTAGTAAGTCCTTGTTGTTTATCCACTTTATATATAGTAATGTGTACCTATTGATCCCCAACTTCTAATCTATTTTGCCCTCTTTCCCCTCTGGTAGCCACAGTTTGTTTTCTATGTCCATGAATGTATTTCTGGCTTGTAAATAAAATTTGTTTGGTTTGGTTTGGTTTTCAGATTCCACATATAAGTGACATCATATGATATTTATCTTTCTCTGACTTACTTCACTTAATATAATCATCTTTAGGTCCATCCATGTTGCTGCAAATGGCATTATTTCATTCCTTTTAAGGCCGAGTAATATTCCATTGTGTATATATATATATCACACACACATATATATCACAACTTCTTTATCCAGTCATTGTCGATGGACATTTAGGTTGTTTCCATGTCTTGGCTATTTTATATAGTGCTGCTGTGAACATTAAGGTGCAATGTGTCTTTTTGAATTATAGTTTTCTCTAGGTATATGCCCAGGAGTGGGATTGCATGGTAAGTCTTTTTTTAGTTTTTTGAGGAACCTCCATACCGTCCTTCATAGTGGCTGCACCAATTTACATCCCCACCAACAGTGTAGGAGG